ATGCTGCAGCCCTTACCCTCATTCCACTGCTGGATGAGCCGCCCCCCCCCCCACTCGGATTAGCACGGTTGGCCAGGCCACGTACGGCGCGAAAGAAGTTCAGTATACAGTACATTGCTTGTGGTGGTGGGGGGAGGAATCTGGTTTTAACGATGGGTGACGTCACCACACACATCTGGGTAATGACGTCACCAGCATCCCACGAAGTTGAGCCGGTCACGCTGACGTCATCACGCCTCCCCCCCCCCCCCCCCCCGTGTATCCCGTGCAAATGGTCGAGCAGTGCGAGCACGTGACAGTATGTGTGTAAAGAACAACATTAACTCTGCAGCGCTTCCAGGCACTGCCTGCCGCCAGTCTCACGAACACAGAGCCAGGCACTGCGAAGAAGAGAGGCTTGGCCAGGCAGCTGCAGGTTACATAACGTACAACAGGCAGGCCCGTGCACGTGTGTGTGTATGTGCACGTGTGTGTGTGTATGTGCACGTGTGTGTGTGTATGTGCACGTGTGTGTGTGTATGTGCACGTGTGTGTGTATGTGCACGTGTGTGTGTGGGGAGCGGTGGCGGAGTGGTTGGCGCACTGCGCTATGAACCTCGGCAGCCCAAGTTCGATTCCCGCTCACGATCAACGCCAGATTATTTGAACTGGTTCTGAAGAAAGAGCGGAGCGAGCACTCGGCGGAGTGAGAGCGCCTCGGGGGCGAGAGAGTCTCGGAGCGAGAGGGTCCTCGGGGCGAGAGGGTCTTGGGGGCGAGAGGGGCGAGAGGGTCTCAGGGCGAGAGTGTCTCTGGGCGAGAGGTCTTGGGGGATGAAAGCGTCTTGGAGGGAGAGTGCCGCGGTCCCGGCCAGGCGAGGAGTTTGTGCTGCGCACCACCTCCCCTCGTGCGTGGCGCCGCCAGCTGCTCCACACGTGGGCCCGGAGTCGGCCAACATTCCGTGGCACGCCCGTGCCCCTCCCTCACTCCCTGCCTCCCTCCCAACTACCCAGCCAGCCACCCACCTACCTACTAGCCACTCAACCAATCATCAAGCCACTTCGCCAGCCACCCAGCTAGCCAGCCAGCCACCCACCCATCAGGCTACCCACCCACCATGCCACTTATGCACCCACTCATCCAACCACCCACCTACTGAACGACCCATCCTATCATTCGGACACTCGCATGCCCAGCCACCTCGAATCAGCGCAGTTGGCTACATACGGCGTGAAAGAAGTTCCCCATGGATATACATCCATCCATCACTCACTCGCCCACTCCCCAACCCATGTATCTATTCTGCCACTCACTCACCCATCCACACAACCACCCTGCCACTGAGCCATCTACTCACCCACCCCATCACTCACCGACCCACCCCATCACTCACCCACCCACCCTGCCACTGAGCCATCCACCCATCCACCCACCCCATAATTCACTCATCCACCCTGCCAATGAGCCACTCACCCACCCACCCCATCATTCACTCACCCACCCACCCCATCACTACCCCGCCTGCTGCACCACTGCTAATGTCGGTGTCTGATCTTCTGCAGCGGGTGGCTCGCGCTCGCCTCGTGCTTCCACTCGTCCCACGTGCTTTCGGTTTCCCCGTGAAATTATTTTGCTTGTCAGATTCCCGGCAACGCCGCCGCCGCCGCTGTTGCTGTTGTTATTGTTGTCGTCGTAATCGTGCGGCGACCGCAGATCCTGGGGGATTTACGCTTCCCAGTTAAGGTCGAGATCATTTCGGCATCCGCCCCGTCCGTCCGTGCGTAACGTGGGCTCACGGTAACTCTGGTAGAGCTGAACCAATCTGAACAAAATTTCAGTGCAAGGTTGCGTTGCTTTTGGGGGACTCGCCCTGTTGAAACAGTCACATGCCTCGCTCGCGGTCCATTTGTCTGTCCATCTGTCTATCCATCTGTCTGTCTGTCCATCGATGCGTCTGTGCAAAAGCCACTGGTAAATCTGATGCAGTCCGAGCGAAACTTTAGTCGAGGATCGTGCTGCTCTTAGGCGGGAGAGAGCGAGAGACAGAGAGGGCAGTGTTCTGGTGTGAGTGAGGAGTGTGTGGGAGCCGAAGGGTGTGTGTGCGCGCGTTCGTGCGTTGTGCGCACAGGAATTTCGGGAGGCTAAGAGGTCGCAGAGGAAAGGGAGGGAGGGAGAGAGGGAGGGAGACTTGGGTGGGGGGGGGGGCGTGGGGGAGCTGATGACTTGAAGATGTGAGACGAGATGGTAATGCGGCGGGCGGACCGAGATGTCATTCTGCCCGGCGCTGCTGTAGACAACGGCGTGGGAGCCAGCGCCTCGACTCCGGCCCGAGCCTCACAGCAGCAGCAGCAGCAGCAGCAGTCGGTTGGTCCATAACGCAGCCCGACGAGCGTAGAAGGGGGAGGTGGGTGGCCAGGTCTCGCGCGCTCAGTCCCTTCCAGGGTGCCTGTATCTGTCGGCTACCGGGGAACGTAGGCGAGGAGATAGTTGTAGAGGTTTGGGGCCGACAGGGTCAGTCGGTGACAGTTGGACACGGGGAGCCGGTGGGACCCGCTGGGTGCGGACCAGTGGGACCCCGCGAGGTCGCGGCGGGGTGGGTGGGGGGGGGTTTGCGATGGCTCGCCGCCGAGCCCTGCTGCTGTGCCTGGAGTTGCTGGCGAATCGCGGAGAGGTATGGCAGTCGCTGCGACCGCTCACGAGAGGCCCGCACGATCATCTTCGCCACCACCACCACCACCATCAAGCCATCATCAGCCATCATCGTCATGAGCCGATATCAATCCACTGCTGGGTGAAGATCCCGCTAGGCTGTCGGAATCTCTCTCGTGGTCTCGCGACGTAACGAGCTTATTTCATCGCTCCATCTCCGCGCTGGCGGCCGGATTCCTTGCGCGTCGCCGTTCATGACGGAAGGGCGCACTGAATTTATAGAGAACCTTACAAAAATAACGTGGTGCTCTCATTGCTCTCACCCACGCCTTCTCCCCGTGGTGTGTAAATAAGTGCAGAGTCCAACTGTTACGTTCTTATCCGTCTCTCTCTCTCTCTTGCCCCTCTGTGTGCGTGCCATGCAGAAGGGCCTTTGTCGAAAACGTTGCCTATTACTCTTTCTTGTAGGGCCACACACACTGTTATAATGGATGTATTTAGTTTATGTTGTACTTCTAGATATCCTGATCTATGTGGAAGTCTGTGGCTCTCTATGTAAGTATTTGAGTAACTCTTTTGGGTCTTTATTAAAATGTACAGGTTTCTGTGCAAGTTTATAGGTATATGTGTAGATCTGTGGGTCTCTACGTCAATACATGGGTCTCTGTATAAGTCTGTGTGTCTCTTTTGTGAGTGTCAAAGACTATCAGTCTATTAGGGGAGTGAAACTGTCAAACAAATATGTGAACACAAATTATAGGGAGTGAATAATTTATGCCAGGGTAGAACATATGGTTGAAAAAGACCTGAAGCATATGGAATGTTAAAAGGTTAAGTGTTCTTCTTGAGTAATGTATTTATTATTATTTTCTGTTTTCACAAATGCTTATTCAGCCGCTCAGTCATTAACATGAAAGCAATAAGTGGCAATTGTGGAGGCTAATGAGCGGGGGCTTAATGACTCGCTGGATATTTATTCCGGGTCGCCGTGTGTGGGGGCACGTGACCAGTAGGTAGTAGTCAAAGCCACACAGCGAGAGAGAGAATCATGGATGTGGTGTGCCGGGTACATAAATACAAATATATACGTTCTGAATTTGCCCGGGGAGGATACGATTGTGATAACGTTGCCAAACCGTAGCGCGCCCGCTGCTTGCTACGGAGGTTCGTGGTTTGACCCCGGCAGACTGCCTTGGTGGCGAGATGTTCACGACCTCGCCTGGTATACAGGAGGTCGTGGGTTCGATACCGACCCTGAACGCTGGTTGTGTATTTGGAGTTTGCTTGTCTCTCTCGCCGTGGATCATAGTGTGGCTTTTTCTCCGGGTCCTCCGGTTTTTCTCTAAAAATGTAGGATCAACATCACGCCTTTAGAGTGTCTTGCTGCTAAATTTTGATTTAAAGCTTTCGTGACTGCAGGGATTCATATTCTTGGTTCTTTCGGTAAAGTCACGTAGAAGGGAAGCAAAAAATTCTCATAAAATTTGTGAGAATTGTATTGTTTTATATTTTTATTATTTTATTGTTTCCCTTCTACGTGACTTTACCGAAAGAACCAAGAATATGTTGCTGCTATACATTTCCACGTGACGAAAAGCCGCTTCGTTGAGCTATCATTTGTGATGGCCGGGTCGCTTCTGAAAAAGAGCTACATAGCTCAGTGGGGACCTTGCCTGGTAAAGCAAACGTTGTTAATGAATAGTTCATAAATAGTTAATCCTGGCGGTGCTCGTTAACCGCACGGCGCAACTGTACCCGCGGCGCCAGCGTCGCAGTGTGGACGGTGAGGATCCCGTGATGTCGTTCTCAAGAGCGCAGGCTGTCGTGTGCCGGCGTCATGGTCCAAATTTGCCATGACTCTAAGAGATGAGAAAAGCCGCTGTTTGTTGAATCGTGTGAAACCGCCGCCGCCGCCGCAGACGGCACTCCTCTGTGAAGCATCACGGAGCCCTCGCGGCAGCAGCCTTGAGAGGAGCGCGAACGCCAACGGTGCGGGATTGCCACTGTAGGCGCGTCGCAGTGATGCCATGCCTCCGTGCGGGTTTAATGATAGATTCCGTTTCTCCCCCTCCTTCTCTTATGTACCCTCCCTCTCCTACCCACACCTCCTCCTTTACCCCCCATCAACCACCTTCTACTCTTCTGCCTCCTCCACGATTACCTCCTCTCCTCCTCATCTTCCTCCTCATCCCTCTTCCCCCTCCTGCACCACCTTCACCTCTTAATTCTCCTCCTCTTCCCCACTCCTTACCCTCCCACCCCTACCCCCGCCTCCTCCTCTCAAACACCTTTACCTCTTCCGCCTCCTCCTCTCCACATCCTCTCCTCATCCTCCTCTTCTTACCCCCCTCCCCCCTCCCCCGCGGCTGTGAAGTCAGTGGACCAGTCGGAAGAGGACTCTGAGGGCGAGGGCAAGTTCCGGCGTCTGCACAAGCTCGTGTCGTCCAAGAGGAAGGGCAAGAAGAAGGCCGCGGCGGCGGGCAGCGGTGGCACCGCCAGGAGTGACGACAAGAAGAGGTCCACGTCGCTCTGCGAGGGTACGTCGGTGGCACCACTTTGCCGCAGCGCCACGGGCGGGCGGAAGGTCACCCAGTGATGGAGGGAATCCAGAATCGAGTGGAGGAGGGAGTGGAGGCAGGAGATGTTGTAGCTGGCCCTGCTGGTGATGGTGGGAAGCCAGTGGAGGAGGGAGTGGAGGCAGGAGATGTTGTAGCTGACCCTGCTTGTGATGGAGGGAAGCCAGTGGAGGCAGGAGTGGAGGCACCACGGTGGCAAGATGTGAACTACCTCGCCTGGTATACAGGAGGTCGTGGGTTCCATCTTTATCCTGGCACCTGCTGTATATTGGAGTTTCCATGATCTCCCCATGGTCATGTGGAATTTTCACCGGGTCCTCCGGTTTTTCCCTCCACATTTAAAAGTGTGCGTTTGGAGACTAGACAGTTTTATAAACTAAAACTATAAAACTATGAACGTTTTTTTATTTTACCAGGTAAGGCCCACTGAACTTAACAGCTATTTTTCAGAAGCGACCTGCACACAAATGATAGCTCAAAGAAGTGGCTTATCACGTGGAAATTTCGAACTATCAAATGCTCTAAACGCACGTTAAGTATTATAATCCACGCGACCACGGGGAGAGAAAGAGAGCATGCAGGCTCCAAATATACAGCAGGCGTCAGGGTTGGGATCGACCCCACGACCTCCTGCATACCAGGAGAGGTCGTTAACATCCCCTAGCCACCGTGGCCCCCACTTGTTTATCAACAAACGCTGGGATCGTTACGTGGAGAGGGCGTGCGGGACCCACTCGCCCCCCCCCCCCACTCGCCCCTCCCCCATCCCCACTCACCCTTCCTCACTCACCCCTCCTCACTCGGCCCAGCCACCCCCACTCGTCCCCCACACTCGCCCCCTCCTCGCCCCCCTCCCCACTCGCCCCTCCCCACTCGGCCCCCTCACTCGCCCGACCCCCACAAGTGGGCGTCAAGGGCTCCGTCTCGAACCCGACGAGAGTGGTCACGACGTTTGTGTTCAAGTGGATCGGTGCGCCACGGTGGCTCGGAGATGTTAACTACCTCGCCCGGTATACAGGAGGCCGTGGGCTCGATCCCGACCCTTGACGCCTGCTGCTGCTGCTGTATGTTTTGAGTTTGCGTGTCTCTCCACACGTGGTCGCGTGGATCTTTTTTTATTATCCGGGTCCTCAGGTGTGATTCCCCTCCCCCCGCCACACACATTTAGAATCAACGTCACACGTTTGGCGCATTTGGCTGCTCTAAATGCCCACGTGAAAATGATAAGGCCGCTTCGTTGGGCCTCTCCTTTGAGGTAGCCAGGTCGCTTCTGACGAAATAGCTTATACAGCTCAGTGGGTCTTAATTACCTGGTAAAAAATAAAAAAGTTAATAGTTTTAAATAGTTCACGGAATCGGTCCTCGCGAGCAACTCCTCGCTGTTACCCCCCCTCCCCCCCCTCCCGTCACCGCGAGTCTTAAGTGACGTCACGCACGGGGACAGAGAGGGGACAGAGAGAGGGCAGAAGAGAGGGAAATAAGAAGAGAAGGCATGGGCGAATGAGAGGAGAAGGGATGAATGTCCTGGGCTTCCCCTGCGTCAGCTCAGCCTTAAACGAGCACCTGGCGCAGTGTGTAGACATCATCGCTGCGGAAGACAAAGACGGCCCGGGCGTGATGCTGCTGGCCGTATCGCCCTGTCCGTCACGTGCCGTGCCGGGCTTCGTAGGTGCTCGCTAGCAGCACTTGCCCCAACAGTCCGTTGAGGCTATACGGGTGGTCTTTGTATATGTGTGTGCTCGTGTGCATATGCACATATGTTAATGCTGTGTTTGTTTCACACTGAGAGCGATCTGTGTGGAGGATACTTGAGTGCGACAGATGGGTTGGGAGTCGTGAGCATCGATTGAACCTGTGTGTGTGTGTGTCCGTGTCTTGTGTGTCTGTGTGCACGTGTGTCTGTATGCATGTCTCTGTGCGTGTGGCTGTCCGTTTGTTTGTCTGTGTGTTTGTCCGTCTGTTGAAGCTCTACGGGGGATCTTTGTCTTTATTGTCCGCTTGTGCACATCAGCGTCTGTGTGTGTGTGTTCTCTTCATACGAACCCGGCGACCCGGGATCGATGTCCACTCACGGCCGACACCAGTGACGATTATCTGAACGGGGCCTGTCCATCCCGTAGGTCGACTCAGCCTCAAATGTGTACCTGGTGCGATGTGTAAATACCAGCGCTGGGGAGAGAAAAGGCTGCCAATCGTGGTTCTAGTCCCACCCCCTTGTGCGCCGTACCAGCTTTAATAGGTGCTCGCAAACAATACTTTCCCCAACAGTCTGCTAAAGACTTAATGGGGATCTTTGTGTTTTGTTTGTGTAGAGGTGTGTCTTCACTTTCTCTGTTATGTCTATTTGAATGTAGGCGTGCGCGTGTGTGTGTGTTTCTACGTAAGCACGTGTAGCCACGTGTGTGGTCTCTGCGGGTGCGTTCCTCGCTCACAGCACTTGCCCCAACAGTCCGCTAAGAGGCTATACGGGGGATCTTTGCCCGCGTCTTTGTGTGCACACACAGCGCGCACACTCGCACGTCATCCGCTTAATCCACGTTTGTCGACAAATCCATTCCAATGCCCCTGGGCTGTGATTCAAGACAGATGCGCGCCGCTTGTTTCAACGTCCAGGGAACATTTGTGCCACGTGCTGGGAGGGAGGGGGAAGGGAGGAGTGTGAGGTGGGAGAGAGAAGACGGGGAAGAGAGGGAGGAGGGTGAGAATGTGCAGAGGAGAGGCAGATGGGAGGAAAGAGGGAGGGAGAGGAGAGGATGGAGAGGGAGGTAGGCGAGAGTGAGGAGGGAGGGAGCTAGGAGAGAGTGAAGAGAGAGGGAGCTAGGAGGGAGGAGAGAGTGAGGAGAGAGAGAGGGAGGTGGAAGGGAGGAGAGACAGTTCCTTGGAAGACGTTCACCGAGGCGTCTCTCGTTAATGATGACGGAAGCAGTGTGCTCATTAGCGCACTCACCTGCCGCTCGTTAGCGCCCAGATGGCGTCAATTAACTAATCAGCCGGCACCTGCGCTGTTTACCTTTGTTGACGCACTTCTGCGTTAGAGCGCGCCACGCGCGGAGCCTGCTGTTGGTACAACGAGCAGCTTGATGGACAAGCATCACAGATAATAATAATAATAAGAGTGCCGTGTCGGTATGTAAAAGTGTGTGGCGCTGTAGTGTAGCGGGTTAGCGCGCTGCGCTACGAACCCGGCGCCCCGAGTTGGATTCCCGCTCACGGCCAACACCAGTGACGATTTTCTGAACCGGTCATGAGCCTCCCCTAGGTCGATTCAGCCTTAAATGAGTGATGTGTAAACATCGCTAATGGGAAGACAACGGCGGCCGGGCGTGGTGCTAGTCGCCCACCCCTATCGTGTGCCGTGCCGGTCTTCATAGGTGCTCGCCTAACAGCACTTGCCCCAATAGTCTGTTCAGCCTATACGGGAGATCTTTGTCTTTGTTGCGGTGCTGTCATAGCAGCAGTGTGACGCTCAGCAGCACACCGAAATTTCATCTCTTGAATCCCCACCCCAACCCCCCAACGTCACCCTGCGGTGGGTCGGGTGGCTGGTGGTGGAGTAAAGTGTGGGTGCTTCTGCCTCATCCATGACGGTCCACCCAGCGTGGAAGATTAGGCCAATAACCCCCTATAGTTCAGAGGGGGGGGGGGGGAGGGGGTGCTCTATAGAGCTCCCTCTAGCAGTCAGCGGTGGCTGCACAAGTTATTGCAGTTTGCTTCTTTACCTTTATATCAACGTGCTTTCACAGTCTTTGACTGCTGCTATACTTTCGCACGCGATAAGCCACTTAATTTGTGATGGCCAGTTCGCCTTTGAATGAGAGCTGCGTCACTCAGTAGAGCCTTATCTGGTAAAATAAAATATAAAAATGTTTTACTAAGGGCGTGGAGGATTGGGAGTTTCGTGAGTTTTGATAGTCTCTTCGAGCGCTGTGGCTTTTGTGGCCTCTGCTTTTTGAGTTTTTTACCGTTAAGTTGACCGCACAAGAGCTGTAAAAGTTGAGAGTTTTGAGAGCCACTCTCTCTCTGCTCTCTCTCCGTAGTTGGCTTTCGCGACCAATATTATCCACAATCGAGGTCTTTTTTTGGTTAGATCGCGTAAATATGAATTCGTCGTTAAAACCTCTCCAACACAAAATCGGTGTGCTGAACTCGTAACGATTGGCTGTGTCGGGTGGGTGGTCGGTTTAACGATGCATTTACATCTCTCCGCTCTCTCCTCCGCCCAGCAGGGAGCCCGGCGCTGGGAGGCCCCCGAGGGCTACGCGACCACCTCCTTCCCCGCCCCTCATCCCTCGACACGTCCGGGCCGGGCTCCCCCACGGGCCCCGCCAATCTCGCGCTCTCCCCGCTCCAGCGTGGCTCCTCCGCCTCTCGCGAGCCGAGTCTGTCTTCGCCTCCGCCGCTCCAGCCCCCGACGACGCCGTTGCTCCTTCCCCGACCTCCTCCGCCCCCCCCACCTCCCCGCTCCCTCGAGTCGTCCTCCTCCTGCGACTCCTCGCTGGGGAGCCTGCGCCCGTGCCGCAGGGCCGACGGCGACGGCGGCGGCGGCGGCGGCGGCGGCGTCCCGTGGGACGCGTCGGAGACGAGCATCTCCACCACGGCCTCGGAGCTCACCGGCGCCTCGTCGCCCTCGGCCGACAGCACTCCGGGGGCGGGCACGGCCGCCGGCGCCGCGCTGTCGCTCGCCGACCTCTCATACTCCTCGTCGGCCTGCGGCGGCTCCAGCTCGGGAGAAGTCACCCCGAGGAGTCCCGAGAGGCTCCCGCTGGAGTTGCAGCTGCAGCAGCAGCAGCAGCAGCAGCTGCAGCGCGACACGGAGCTCTACAGCTTCGTCAAGTCGGGCGCGATGAAGAAGACGCAGCAGCAGCAGCAGCAGCAGCCGGTGTCGTCGCCAACGCCGCCATCGTCGGCGTCTCCGAGCCACGCGGTAAGTGCCGCCCCCCCGGTGCGCGGCGGTGGTGGCGGCTGCGCCGCCACCACGGCGGCGGCATTCCCGTTCCCACGGCAGTTCGTCGCGTCGCTGGACGAGATCAGCGCCGCCCGCCGGCGGATGATGGCGCTCCGCAGGAACGGCAGCTCGCCGGCGAGCCTGCCAACCTGTCGCCTCTACCACGACCGCGACGACGGCGCGGCGAATGGCGCCGCCGGCCACGCCGGCTCCCCTGCGGCGGCGGCGGCGGCGGCGTCGTCGGAGAAATTTGACGCGCTCGTCGCCAGGATAGAGCGGAACCTGAGCCAGCTGATGGAGAGGAACGCGGTGGTTTTGGCGGCGGGCGACCAGCGCAGGCCGACGGGCGAGGTTGTAGGCGGGGGCGTCGGCGTGCGGGGCGCGTCGGCCGAGCCGCGGGGCCGGAGGCGGCGCGTCTCGGCGGCCGAGGCCGCTCCCGGTGGACGCTGGGCCCGTGGCGGCAGTGGCCGGAGCTCTCCGGAGACGGCGGCGGCCGAAGCGCAGCAGCAGCAGCAGCAGGCGAGGACGTTTGTGAGTGGGGAGCCGGGCGGTGGAGTCGGTATCTCGGCAGCGACGGTGGTGGCGTCCCATCGGAAGCGCGCTGGGAGTCTTTGCGGAGCGGCTGCGATGATGACGACGACGATGATGACGATGATGGCCATGAGGACGATGCATGCGGCGATCTGGAGGTTAACAATCGCTTCCGATGTCATGCGACGCTCGTGCGATATCGAGCACTGGGGATCGGATTGGTTTTGGATAATAAATATTTTGTTCCCATTGCGTTCTTAAGAACGAAAGAGAGAGAGAGAGAGACGATAACTCCTCCCAGAAGCCCGAATTGCGTCGCTGTAGAATGAGCGGTCGCCGGTGCTGCGGCATCAGGCCCAGCCTGACGTTACTCCTGGCCTGACGTTACTCTCGGCCTGATGTAGCTCTTGGCCTGATGTTACTCTCCACCTGACGTTACTCTCCGCCTGATGTAGCTCGTGGCCTGACGTTACTCTCGGCCTGACGTTACTCCTGGCCTGACGTTACTCTCCACCTGACGTTACTCCCGGCCTGAAGTTACTCACGGCCTGACGATAACTCCCGGACTCAACGCGACTCTCGCGCCGCCGTAGGGGGGGGGGGGCGGGAGGGGGGGCGAGGCGCAGTTCCGATGCGACGCCACAAATCCCAAAAGACGCTCTGTGCACTCGCAAACCCCCAAACCGCCCAGGGGGCAGCCAGTCCGTGGCTCCTACCCCGGGATTGAGTCTTCGCCGATGCTCCGTTCTTCGGCGGTGTTTTCTCGTTCTCGGTCAAATTCAATTATTTTTGCTTGCACACGGTGTTTGCTCCTCGCGGCAGGGAGGGCTTAAGGGGTGGGGGGGGGGGGGAACAAATCTGCCACCGCGATGAGCTACGAAGCTGGTCAGCAAGTGGCATCAACAGACGATACAGGAGCAAGACGGGGAAAAGGCAAGCGGGTCCACGAGAAATTGATTAAGATGGATAGAGCACTGGAGGTAGTAATTGCACCTCGTGCGTTATGTTCCCGCAAGGATTTGCCCAACGCCAAATGCGAGCTTGGGGCGAGGCACCAAAAACACAAACAACAGTCCCAAACCACAGCACGACCACAAAACACGCAGAGTCCCTCCATTGCATTGCAATCAATGTGGCGCACCGTTCGTCCAACGTGACAACTCGATCTGTTTGGCTCCGTGTCGGGCGGCGGGAGGCAAACACAAAATCTCTCCCCCACGCACGATCTGGAGGATGGGCCAGGCACGTGGGCATGCTCTGAGAGCCCCGCATTTACAACAAAAAAAATAACCTTTTAATTAAGGCAAGAGGAAAAATTCGACTTGCAACGTCACCGGACGAAAGCTCCCCCCCTCCCCCCAGGTCAGGAACTCCTTTTGCGCGCGGCCTCGTCCGCCAGCGGTGCCGTCGGCAGGGAAATTGCGGGGCCTGCTGCGCCCGAACGCTTATGCTCCTCTTGCGCCCTTAACGAGGGTGCCCTTAGCCGTGGCGACCCATCCGTGGCGGGGTGGGGGGGGGGGTGTTAGCGGTGTGCCGGTAGCGCCGGAAACTTCACCGGCACCGCAGCGACTGGGAGTCGGCGGGGGGTGAGGCTCGTCGTGTGCCCATCGGCCAGCGATCGCCAGCTTTACGGTGTTAACTCTTCTTAACGTCTATTATTGTGGCCACCATTCCCTGTTTAATAACAATTTGCACCTAGTCGGCGCACCTCGCGGTGTCCCGGGTCGCCCTCGCCGAGCCTCATGAATTCCCGTGGCCGCCGTGTTCCCGGTCGCGTCAATTCCAGGGGGACTCTTTCGGCACCGTTGGCTCCCCCACCCCGACAGAGCGGTGCTCGTTCTTATCGGGGGGGGGGGGGGGGGACGATGGGCCGAGTCAACCCCCTACTTGCCCCCACCACCCAACTGAGGGGCGTGCGTTACGGTTCACAGCCACCACCAACGCTCACACCGAAGAAGACCACGGTCCAAACGCACTCCTAACTCATGGATCATTGGACGGGCTAGACAAGACACACCCTCCCGCCGTGGCTGACGAGCAGGGATTGACACACCCTCCTGCCCTGGCTGACGAGCAGGGATTTTGCGAGCTGGGATTGCGAGTGCACGGATAGTTGGCGCCGCAGCATGCCTTGTTCCTGCATGCTGTCATAGCGTGCTGTCCGGAGCATGCTGTCCGTAGCTTGCCGTCGTGATGGCCTGCTTGTGATTCAGGCTAAGCCCTGATCTTTGGTGGTTGTTGTGGTTGTTGTTGTGGTGGTGGTTGTTGTTGTGGCCGTGGTTGTTCTTGTGGGGCGATGGCATTTGAAGCTTAAGTGAGAAGGCTCTGTTCGTGTGTAAATGTTGTTGTTGTTGGATGCTGTGGTGTTGTTGTTTTTGTGCGTCACAGCATTTCAGCTGAGCTCTTGGCTTCGGTCAATTTTGAAGTGTTGTTGTTAAGCCTGAGTCTCATGACTCATTTTTCTGGAGGGTCCTGCCAGTTATTTATTGCAGTCGTGGTTAATGACTGCTGCTGCTGTGTGTGTACATTTCAGTTGAGTCATTAGCCTATTTTGTCGACCCACTTGATGTGAATTGAGTCTGTGGGATGAATCCATCTGTGTGGAGGTGTGAGCGCTATGTGTGGTGGATTTTCTCCGGTGTACTGCGGTTTTGCTAAGGGTGACCAAGAAAAAAGATCCCCCCCCCCCCACCCCGTTTAGCCTCAGTGGACTGTTGGGGCAAGCGTTGTTAACGAGCACCAATGAATGTCGGCACGCACATGATGAGGGGGTGGGTGGCCAGAACCAATATATACGTCTCCCTTATGGTGATGTTTTTACACCGCACCTGGTGCTCATTTGAGTCGACCTAATGGAGGCCCAGGACCGGTTCAGATTATCATGAATAGTATTGGCCATGAGCATGAATCCAACTCGGGTTGCCGGGTTCGAAGCGCAGCGCGCTAACCGCGCTGCGCCACCGCTCCGCACTTGCTTGCACGACCACCAGCAAGCAAGCAAGCAGGGCTTGCCAGGTGCTGTAGGTGTGGGGGCAGACAGCGCGGTGAGGCCAGGAGGTGGCGGTGCCGCGCGTCTCCCCCACGTGGACAGCGGCGCAGGGGCTGCTGGGCTGTCTCCGGGCTTCTCCCGTTGCCTCCTCCCCACACACGAAGCCAAAAACTCTCAACGCCAAACCACGGAATTCACGACGCAAACATCCCAGTGGCAGGCAGTAGCACCACCCTCCTGAGAAACGAGCCTTGGGACTCTTGGCCATGTCAGGTGACGGAGGGTCGAACGACACAAATCTGACCAAAACATCATTGCGCGGCCTACCATCCCCAAAGCATCAGCAACTCGGACTCGAGGAGCCCACCTTCCGCTTGTGCGGGATTCCTCGGCAGGCCGCTGACCAATCTTCCGCGGTGCGCATCGCCGTGGGGGGGGGGGGGGGGTGTCATGTTCATAGTAACCGAGTCGGCGGTCGGGCGGTGACGTGGCAGGGATTTTTTTGGCGATGTCTCCACCGTGTTCCCTGCCGGCCCGGCGGGGAACACGTGGCCAGCAACGTTAGTTTTTAATTGTACATTTAAGTATAATTAAACACATGTACGATTTTATTTGATGGATTGTTTGCTATAGCTACATTACATAATCAGTTGTGCTGCCAAAGATGTGCGCTGAATAAATGTCGCTAATTGTTTTGTTGGTGGCGGTGCTGCTGCTGAACAAGGCACAGCCAACAATGGCCACACGGGGCGATCACTCGAAACGTCGCCAGGCGGGGAGCGGTGGTCTAGCGGTTAGCGCGCTGCGCTACGAACCCGGCAACTCGAGTTGATTTTCTGGCCAACACCTAGTGACGATTATCTGAACCGGTCCGAGGCCTCCCCGAGGTCGGATCGGCCTCAAATGAGTGCCTGGTGCGGTGTATAAACATCGCCGCTAAGGAGACAAAGGCGGCCGGGCGTGGTGCTCGCCACCCACCCCATCGTGTGCGGCGGCAACCTTCGTAGGCGCTCGCTAACAGCACACAGGAGGAGGGGGGCGGGGGTGTGGGGGTGTCTTTGTGAGTGTTTGCACGTGCGCGTGTGTGTGTGTGTGTGCGCGTGTGCGTCTCTGGCGTGCGCGTCTTCCTGTGCCTCAACACATTTCCTCTAAGCCTCGTTTCCTGAGTCCCGTGCGTGTGCGTGCGTGCACCCACGCACACACACACACGCACGCGCGCGCACACAAACTCGCGGTGACCAATCGCTCGCCAGTCGCCGGCGCGAGCTATTGGCGCTGGTTGCTCGCGAAGAGAGGCGTAAGCGGTGGGACGCGGTCCAGAGCCCCGACGTAGCGGTGGCAGCGCCGGATCGTTCCCGTCGCGGGAGAGGAGGTTCATGTTCGCACCGTCTGGCGCGCGTGCGGAATAACGGCACGACTCGCCCGCAACCGACCGCTTGCTCGCCCCGGCCGCCCGTTC